CTTTTAAGAGGAGACAAGAGGCAGTTGCTGCCTTGACGAAAACCTGTCCGTTTGTCGAAACGTCGGCCCCGTGCTCACAATTTTTTGAATCTCTGCAAGCTCCATTTCCCCTGCAATTCTGTCATTGATTGGATTCCCACTGTTTTGTAAAGCAAAAGTTCGCTACAACTATAATAGTACAGTGCCCAATTATAACAATTATGCTACTAGCGCACCCAGGACTCCTAGGGCATGGCTGTGTTTGGCCAAGCATGGCTATTGCACCATCGAAATCTACATAGCATCATCAGGACTTCGGGGGGTCGGGGGCGGGAAATTTCGCCAATATCATGGGTGAGTGGGAGGGGGGGGGGTGTTTGAGCAGGTACTCTGCATATTATAACGTTCATTACTTCGGATTGTGGAATCAAAGAGCCGATAAAATGCTAAATATTAATATCATAAGGTTTGCGCTTCTTCAATTCAGGAGTGACCACCACACATTCGGAAAGTAGGTCAAGAAAAATTGGCAGATCTCACGTACAGTGGGACCGATGATATGCAAAGCACGAATGAGAAATGTTGATATGTCACTTTAAAATCAGCACAACGTTACGAGGTGGAGGTAAATGATGCCGTACATGAATTCCGTGTCATAATTATTATGTTTGAATGTTTCACTTACCTTCGTCATCTAATCACGTCACGTGATACCAGTATATGTGGAGCTAGCAAAACAGCCGCGAGCACGCTATGAGCGTGGTATGTTGTCATGTTCTTACATGACACGCGTGTTATAATTATCATGTTTGCACGAGCCATATATTTCATCATTCATTGACGTCACGTAACACCGAATTCGGCATATGTGGAGCTAGCAAAACGGTCGTGAGCGCATCATGACGGGCCCAATGAATACTCCAATATAGCGTTGACGCGCGCGCACGCTGGGCACAGCGATGCTACGTTAGGAAAACGCGATCACTCTATAATCTGACGCCAGGCACGACTAGCGTCCTCGGCGCGGCCCGACGGTAACCGGCGCGAAATGCTGCTTTTCGCGCCGACGCATTACCTAGACCAGGCGCTGCTTAGACGAAACTGCGTATCCCTCTTTTTGTGACGGAGGGACGCCGGATGCGCTGAAACGCGCGTGCGTCAAAGCAACGCACCACGGCGCGCGCCTGCGAGAGGACCGGCGCCTGGCGTGGCAACACCGGCGAGCTCGCGCACCGCGTCACGTCAAAATGTATTGGCGCCTTGACTGTGACATGTAGTCATGTTATCACATGACACGCATCTCATGATTCTCATGTTAGCACCAGTCATATACCTTCGTCATTTATTGGCGTTACGCAATACTAAATTTGGTATATGTGAAGCTGGCGAAACGGCCTCGAGCGCAGCATGAGCGTAGGATGTAGTCATGTTGTTACATGACACGCATCTCATGTTTTCGATGTTTGCATCAGTATCATACCTTCATCATCTATACACGTTCCATAATACCGAATTTTGTATAAATGAAGCTAGCGAAACGGCCGCCAGCGCATCATGAGCATGGCATGTAGTCATGTTATTACATGACATGCATCTCATGATTATCATGTTTGGACCAGTAACATACATTCGTCATTCATTCATGTACTGTAATACCAAACTTGGTATATGTGACGCTAGCGAAACGGCCGCGAGCGCATCATGAGCGTGGCATGTAGTCATGTTGTTACATGACACGCATATCATGTTTTCATGTTTGCACCAGTATCATACCTTCGTCATCCATTGCCGTCCCATAATACCAAATTTCATATAAGTGAAGCCAGCGCATCATGAGCATGGCATGTAGTTCTGTATTACATGACACGCATCTCATGATGAGTCATGTTTGCACCAGTCACATACCTTCGTCATTCCTTCATGTACTGTATACCAAATTTGGTACATGTGAAGCTAGTGAACGACCGCGAGCGCATCATGAGGGTAGCATGTAGTCATGTAGTTTACATGACACGCATGTCATGATTTTCATGTTAGGGTCTGTCCCTTGCGTTCGCCGTGCAATCATGCCATACCATACCAGCTTTGCAACATGTCATGTGAACGATACTACCGCAAGAGCTGCAGGACCATGAAATGTAAATCATGACATTCATGACATCCATATCATGATTTTTATGGTATGACTAGTCAATATGTTCTTCATACAGTCATGTTATGTCATACCAAGTTTGGTATTGATACCCTTATCGAAACGGCCAGGAGAGCTGAAAGTCGTAGGCAGATAGATAGATAGATAGATAGATAGATAGATAGATAGATAGATAGATCTGATAGATAGATAGATAGATAGATAGATAGATAGATAGATAGATAGATAGATAGATAGATAGATAGATAGATAGATAGATAGATAGATAGATAGATAGATAGATAGATAGATAGATAGATAGATAGATAGATAGATAGATAGATAGATAGATAGATAGATAGATAGATAGATAGATAGATAGATAATAGATAGATAGATACGCTCAAAGTCGCCGAAGTTCGCTAAGAAGTGCTTTGCATTTAAAATTCTACCTCTAGCCACCTTTTTCTTTGCTTGATAGCGTGTTAATCCCAATTGCAAGGACAAAGTTAACAGAACTTTCGAATATGTAGGTTAGACTCTCGGCATATGGGGACGATGGACAGTTCTCATTATGGACATAGGACAAGCGCTAACTGACAATACTTCAATAATACGGAAAGACGGGCTAGTTGGTACTGCTGCATAATTGAAGTTTTGCGCACACACACAAGGACACAGAAGAAGGGAACACAAGGACTGCGCTGGTCCTTGTGTTCCCTTCTTCTGTGTCCTTGTGTGTGTGCGCAAAAACTTCAATTATGACAATACTTCCTCTAATTTCTTCGGTAAGAGAAAGGTTCAGGAAAGGAAAAGACGCAACTTCTGCAGCCCTAATTGGGATAATGGCTCGGCGCCTGTAGGGGCGGGACGAGGGCATTAAGTTGTGGAGAAGAGAGAAGATAAGTGGCGTAGATGACTGAGTATGTGGCGGGTGGCTTCTATAGCCGGTTATCCAGTCCAGTGTCCTCAACGAAGCTAAGAACCGCCTTGGAGACCTGGGTGTGGTGCCATGCAGGGAAGAGGAGGTCTCTCTGTGTAACCGCGGGCGGACCACGGCGAATGAGTGCGGTGAGCAAGAAGTCTCGTTGTGTGCGAAGCGCTGGGTGAACACACAAGTGCTCGATCGTTTCATCTGCCCCGCACGCAGGGGACGAGGCTCTGCCAAGCCGATGACGCCGGGCCACAAGCCAGGAGCAGCTGATACGTAAGCGAAGTAGAAGGGATCTCTCCCTCCTGGTGAAATCCCGATCAGGCAGCCAGGTTGCTGGTTCTATCCTGACTACAAGATCGTCGGGGTGGCAGCGTAGCAATTTTTTCGGTAATTAACACTGAAGTGGGTGACAGGTTTCGACTTTGTCACTTCTTTGTTTATTTGTATGAGAGCTTATTATTTTTCATTTTCATTTTTCGACAGTCTGCCCTTAGGAATAGTGATTGGATATACGTAGTCATGTCGTTTCATAAGTATCGGTGCTGAAGCGAGAGAAAGAAAGCGTGAGTTGTGGCCCCCTTTAGTTTGTGACTTCTTATTAGAATATCCCGCGTAAAAGAATCAGAGAGTGGTGGCGCGTGTTGTCGATTTTGATAGCTCTCTCGTTTCCCCGAAGGGGGCAAAAGTGGTTCATGGCCTTCGAGATTGCCAAGCTGTGGCGGCTTACACTCCATTCATGACTAAATTTTAACGTATTACTACATGTTGTATTTGTTATAAGCGTGCGTTATAGTATTGGTTTTCGACACTTGTTTTTGTTTCATTTGAGTGTTTGCATGATAGGGTGCGGTACTTTGATAATCTCGAAGGTCAATATGTTTAGCAAAGTAGCCACGAGAAGGCGCAACATTAAGCGCACTGGCAAATTATATATAAGGTTCTAATAGCAATCGTTCGCATCTCTGCACCATTTGTTTGTTCACATATATTTTTAAACTTTACTATGAGTATAATTTTTTGTGGTTGCTGCTGTAAGCGCAAAATGTAAGTGCGTGCACTGGCTCTACCGTCACGAGATGGCAGCAGTAACATATTGCGCGCATCATATGTCCACGAGGTTTCATCGCTGAACACCGCGACGTCTGCTTTCTGTATTCACTAGATGTTTTAAACCACAAACTACGTGTAACGCATATTTTTAATCCCTGGAGGTGCATCGGCGTAGCGCTAAAGGCAGTTGACAGTTTCATGTTGTGGTTTTGATCTGCATTTGGCGAGTTCATGCGATCGCGAACTCCGTTGATGGGACCTTTTCTAGGGACATATAAACGAGCTCATTCATTACCGCGTCGTACGCTGATAAACTACAAAACACTGAAATACCCAATTTCCAGTAAATCAATAATATTTAGTAAGTCATTAGTTGAGTGAAACTTGTGCGCACGGGCGAATGTGTGTTCAAGATGGGCATGCGCTGAATGTCATGCGACTGTAGCTAGGTACTTTCTAGGTGCCTAAGCCCCCTAAAAACAAGGTAAGCCGCAACGTGCTCCACGGCGGAGCCGGGCGCGCGGATAGGAATGTTGTCAGTCCGGCTAGTACGCCAACGTGAGGGAGCGCTGCAAAATTAAACGAAAAGCAAAAAAGGCAGCGCTCCTTTGGCAGCTTGTTTTTTTGGCGCTTTCCGCCTCGGCCCCAAAGAGCTTCCCCGAACGTCGCTGAATGTGACGGGCCTCACGAGTCGTTGGTGCCGATCGCTTAGTGCTGCTGTGGATCGTGGTGTCCGTGGCGGTGTCTTTCGGTGTTGTGTGCGCGCGTGACAGCAGTTCTTGTGCGACCGGCCCTGGCAGCACGTACGGGATAGACCTCGCTGGTCGGCGTGCATTTATCGCTCACCATGGATTAGACGCGGCGGGTGCTTCGTGAGTTTTCCGGGCGCAGGACAGGGCCTTCCGAATGGAGTACGCCAACGGCGCCGTGGCGGCCGCCGATGGTGGTGGTTTTAGCCAGATCGGAATGAAGGCGCGTTCGCCGGAGGGACATGCAGCTCGGGCCATGCAAATCAAAGGTTTGTGAAGCATGTTCTTGTTCCTTCCTTGGCGCGGCTATTTGTTCTGGGTTTTTTGTTGTCCGACCCTCTGCAGCTGTCGTTCATGTGGTTGCTTCGGCATTACCGGCCGCAGAGCGGCTGACCAGTCCTGTCGCTTAGCATCTGAAAAACTCGGTGCAATTCACGAAACGTTCAAGAGAAAATGGAAGTTTACCAGCATGGTTTAACTCGAGAAAAAAAGAAAAAGAAAACAGCTGGTGGAAATGCAAAGATAGGGAGCAGTAAAAAAACGTCATCTTTTTCTGACGTGCTCTGAACAACGCAGTGACCCGTTGACAATGTTTTAAAACTCGATTTAAGTGCGAATTGCCCGTGCTGGCAAAAAAAAAAAAAAACTATGGCTGGAACTTCCTGTTCAATTCACTTTGGGTGCACCCTTACATGAGTTTCATGTGTACCACGTTGATTCACGCAGTGGTTATGCACGCCGAACTGTAACTTGTATCTTTAACCTAATCGATGACTAACGCGAATAATGCTCATCTGCGTAGTTATCGTTAATATAGACTTCACATCCACCCGCTTAGTTGCTGTAACATTGCCTCGGCATGTCAGACCTATAAGCTGAAGTGGGTGGATTCAGTTAAGCACGCCCCTTTTGCGCTGACAAGGAAGGTCTCCGATTAATCGTGCAGATATCAAAACGTGCTCTCAATGCAATGATATTTACATTTGGGACTAAACAGTGTACGAGGCTCGAAACATTTCCTTTATTTAAACACTGTCTCGATTAAAATTCAAGTCACCGCGTTGTAAAAGAAAAGATGATTGTGTTTATGACAGCGCACGTGTCTTAACTGCTTGACGCCGCGTCGGAAAATCACTTGTGTAACATTTACTAAACTGTCACTCGCGGGATAGTGGTGGCCAAGCGTTATTGCGCAGTGCGTGCTATTTGCGCCCTTTATTCGCGCTCAGGCTATCTAACTATACTGCGTCCCGCAATGAGCTCGTTATAACGAACTCGCTTATATCGAGCAAACCGCTGTATCAAAGATAAGCGCAGGCCGAATTCTCCGTAAGTGTGCGTTGTTTTCTTTTGCCACTGAGACAGTGAGTGCGGCTGCATTAAACGGATGAATGCGAGTAAAAGACCTTTAATTTTCCACGTCCGGAAGGACGTGTGTGTACAGTTACTATCAAATCACCCTGAAATGGCAGATTAGCTTAGAAACGGATAAGTGGGCGTAGCCTAAAATGTTTTTCGGTGTGTGCGGAGGGATGTTCAGTTACTATTCATGTATCTTAGTGCGTGTGTTTGTATGCGTGCGTATATGTATAAACACGCTATATTGAAAAATCTATGTTGTGGAGGCATGGAATTCACCGCCACCCGTGGCTACGTGAATGGTACGGATTCACAATGATCACGTGCTAACAATGTAGGCATGCTAACAATGTAGGCGTGCTAACAAGGGGCACAAGAGAAGAAATCGAGACGACACAAACGCCGCTTATCTTTTGTCGTGAACCCTTTTAGCATACCGAATAGCATCAAGCTCTGAAGTTCATACGTACACTGCCTTGAATTTTCATCGCTGATGGCGCGATTATTAACGGTGCGTGTGTAAAACGATAGTCGCATTCATCACGTACCGATAGCAACCCAGACATTTCCTTTGAGCCTGATTTCAGACATCGATTCAGCTCTTCGTGTCATAGGAGGTGCATTAAACGAATGAGGTATTATTGTCGATAATTTTTCTGTGGAGTCGATGCAGGTGTGTCATGCAGGGGCGTAGCCAGAACTTTTTTTTTTTTTCAGAGGGGTTTCAACCACACCTTGTGTGTTCGTGCGTGCGTTTGTATGTGTGTGCATATGTACGCAAGTAAAATTGAAAACTGTCATAGGGGGAGGGGTTGCACCCTTCCTATCTTGGCTACGCTCTTGGTGGGAAGGTCACGCTTTTTTTCTTTCCCTTTCTCTCTTACCCCCTTCAGGAGTAGCAGGCTATAAACTTCTCCTTTTTCTTATTAAACATAATCTCCTTCCAAGCAAACGTCGTTATTGAAAGTACTTTATTTCAAAACTTTAGGGCCAACGATAACGTTTACGCTTTATCCCGGAATCATCCGACTGTACGCTTGCATTATTATTTTTTTTAATCGTATAGTTCTAGCACGGCAAAGGGGCGAACTATGGCTATAGTGAAAGTACTGGTGTAATTATTTTTTTTTATTTCTGCTTACAACTTCTTTATAACGTTGCCTCAGACGCGTACGTCATGAAATCGCGACACGGCATAATATATTACATTTCCCGTTTCATGTATTGTTTCCTTTGACACTGCTTATCAACCTCGCTGACAAATCAAGGCTGTGCGCCTGACTCGCATCCTGTAGGCCAGACAAGTCGCTCAATGTCGTTTTCAGTATGATATTTTTCTGTGTTCCTTTTTTTTTTCTTTTTGATCAGCCATATTTCGTCGGTGCACAGTGAATCTAGCTGGATCAAAATAGCTCGGACCTTTATATTGTGATACCCTATAAATGCAACTTAGCTTTCTGATTTAGTTTAAGTACAGCGGCCGGTGCTCTTTTCTTCTTGTTATGGTTAATGTTAAGTCAGCCCGGCATTTCAGATGGTAGCATACTTTAAAAAAAAATAATTTGAAAGACTAGACATCTTCTGGAACTCCAGTTCGACGTAATTCAACCTTCTACTCTTGCAATAAAAAACAATTGAACTCTTCAAGTATTTGTTTCTTAGTACGGCGTTTCGTAAACTGTACGCGTACTATTCGCATACTATTCGCCCTCGAAAACCGGTGATTTACGACGGGTCAACTTGCGGCTTAAATAAAATCGATCCTGTTAACTCACTACTGGCTATACATCCCGCATTGCTGGGAGTTATGCTGAACACCTTAAAATTTGGCTTTCGAACGGACTTGCGTTTCGAGCTTATCACAGCAAACGCAAACCGTCCTGTCGACTAATTAATTGGCAGTTCACAATACGATGCATTCAAGTTCGAATATCCTTAGATTTGTCTAAAAAAAAGTTACTCCTGGTGGCAAAGTGAATCACCTTCTCGCACGACTCATTCAAGTGCCGCCCCGCCGCGGTGGTGTAGTGGCTAAGGTACTCGGCTGCTGACCCGCAGGTCACGGGTTCGCATCCCGGCTGCTGTGGCTGCATTTTCCGATGGAGGCGGAAATGTTGCAGGCCCGTGTACTCAGATTTGGGTGCACGTTAAAGAACCCCAGGTGGTCAAAATTTCCGGAGCCCTCCACTACGGCGTCTCTCATAATCATATGATGGTTTTGGGACGTTAACCCCACAAATCTATCATCTATCAATTCAAGTGCCGTTCAGCGAAAGCAGAAAGGACAAACAGTCAACAGGATAACCTGCTATCGCTGAATGCCGATAGCAGCGGAATTAAGATGCTTGAAGCGCGCGTGCTTGGCCGCGGCTCTTTAACTCTTGTGGATCATTGGATTACGCAATATATACCTGACCAAGTGCGATCTATAAATGTCGAGTGCGGCGCAATAGGTCGTTGTCGGGTGTTTTGATCTCCGGTTCATTTTCGCACACTCGTGTGGCGCGAACGATTTAGACGCTTGCTTCTCAGCTTTCTTGTCGACACCTTCCCGCTGACCGATTCAGGTGGAGGTTCGAGTAATTAGTCGGCCCTAAACTAGTATTTCTACCGAAGGCACAACGAACAAAAGAAATCGCAGCATATCCACAGAGTACATATGATGAGTGGGGCAAACCATTCGTCCGTCCGTTCGTTCTTGCTTCCCTCCGTTCATCCAACCGTGCCTGTCCGTGCGTCTGTCCATCCGTCCGTCCATCTAGTGAACACTCCAAGTACCGCCATCTCGCATCTTTTCATCATATATTCATCATATAGAAGTACCGCCATCCAGCGGACATTCCAAGGACTAAACGAGAGGTGGCATGGCCGGACTAGAAGAGTGGCAAGCGGGCACTTTCTTACGGCCGGCGCTTCGTGCCTATACTACCCACCTTCCACCGCCTCTAGTTCATGGCTATACACTAGTCCACTACATTGATGGCACTTCGGCCCAACCCTCGCTAAACCTTGCTAAAACCAAGGAGGTTACGCCCAGCGAGTTTAACGTGGCAACCCTTTCTGGTCAGATAGTGCTCAAGGTGCGTCCTTCTGATACTATTTTTTTTAGTAAGCATTAAATTCAAGGCAAATTAATTGGAGATTAAGTCACCAATACTCGTATCTGTAAGTTAATTCATCAGAAACAACTGTATTTTTATTTATGATTAACGTGCGCAAGTTTCCTCTTCAATTAAAAAAAGGTGCACGCGTGCCGCTCCTCTATAGTCCGGCCGTGGAGGTGGCTACCTACAACAACAACAACTACTACTACTACTACTACTACAACTACTACTACCACTACTACTACTACTACTACTACACTACTACTACTACTACATCGTGGATGCACGGCTTTGGCAGCTTCGCCCCCAAAAATGTCTGAGGCCATGCACAACCTTACACAGTCACACACAGTGTCGGATACACAGTGATCGTTTTTAATGTGTGCATGGTTGAAAAGTACTGGGGGTCCCGAAGAGAGATTTTTGTCTCGAGCACTAAATGCATAAACGATTTGTCTTTTTCCACTTACGCCACGTGGCATGTGATATCAGTCGATTACGCCGTAGCCTACGGAACAGCGAAGACGCCTCGAGTTTATTGTTCCGATACTTAAATTGTTCTCTCGAAAAAAAAAAGCTTTCAAGAATCTCTCTTACGTGACCTGGAGTTAAGCCAGAGTTCGCTCTTTGTATGACACCTGCAAATGTCATACAACGATCGAAGGGATCTTATGTGTTCTTCTTTTCTTCTTATCCACTCTAGATCGTCGTGCATTTGCAGCTCATTTCTACCTCCCTTTGCAGAGCAGAATGCCAACAGTCATATATATGCGCGCTAAAAACATTATCTGCATTCAAATAACGAA